TTGAAAATAATCAAGTCTTTAAAGACTTAGTTATTTTTACAGCTGGGCTATGGGCCGACATGGCCCAGTGAAAATGGTCATGCCCAACGGACGGCATGGCACGGCCAAACGGCCCACGGGCCGTGCCTTAGGCCGGAGGCCAGGCACGAGCACGCCATAAGCACGGCACGGCCGGCCCGGTGGCCCGGTGAGGCACGACGCCGCGTCGGGCCGGCACGGCCCGATGGCCATCTATACAGCCAGCTGCCCTCCCGTACCAGCACTCCCCGCTTAAATAAATATATATACACACATCACAGCCCCGTTCGCTGGTTCGAAACTTGGCTGAAACTGGTTGAAAAATACTGTTCCGGCTGAATTGTTGTGAGAGAAAAACACTGTTTCGGCTGAAAAAAGAAGCCGAACAAACCGAATATGGGGTAAGCCGAACAGGGCCACACGCGCTTAGAGATGAAAACGGATCGAATTCACACGAAATCGGATCCGGACGTCACCTTTTACTATATTTTAATTTGAATTCGAATACGGATATAGATCTTGTCAAATACGAATACAAAATGACTGTCTTAGATTCGGATTTTTATTCGAATATTTACTCAACTCAACTCAAAGTACATATCGTTAAATTCAACGTAGATGAATAGAATTTTACTACTAGGTTTGTCGATAATAAAAGTGAAATAAAATCAAACTACACTTCTAATAATCTCCAATATCGAAGTGAACTAAATTATAATGAAATATTTAATAAAATGATAAGTTAAGTGAAGAAATTTAAATAAGAATGGTAGGCGTCCAAGAAGCCATTTTGCCTTATCAATTTCTTTTGTAACTATATGATTATTACACAAGTAGAGAATAAAGTATATAGATATATAACATAGACAAGAATAGTTTATAAAAAATAATAGAGTTATCAATAGATACTTAATAATTAATATAACAATTAATAAATTAATAAATCATTACTTATATAATTTTATCATGAAATTATAGATTACATAAAACAATTTATATCAGGAAAAAATAAATTAAAGTATTAAAATAATTTGCAACAACATATATATTAGGTTTAAACTAAATTTGAAAAATACTAAATTAATTTGTGTTATTAATAGTATTAAATTAATATTAAAGGTTACTTATAGATATACAACTAAATAGTTTCAGTGCATCATTAATAATATTGAAATTAAATAATAGTCATTGGTCATGGAAAAGAAAACTTTTTAATACATTCATTATACCTTTTTCTTCACGGATACAGATACGAATACGGATATCCATATTTTTATCAAATACAGATTTTCAACCAGAGAAAAATACTAAAAAAACGAATTCGGATACATTAGAAACAGATACGAATACGGATATCCATATTACACGTTTTAGCAGATACGGATTCTCGGATGTCCAGACATCCATTTCCATCCCTACACACACTTTAACTAAAATTTAAAAAATAGAAACAAAGCATTTGTCTCATTAAATATATTTACTTTAAAAATATATGTTATAATTAATCTAATGATATATACTTATTACATATTATTATACTTTTATATATATTTCATTAAACTTAAAATTAATTAACGCTTCAAAGTATAAAATGTGCATTTATTTTAGGTTTCAGCGAGTAGTTAGTGACTACAGTTATTTCTCTAATAAAATAATCACTCTATCTTTGAATAAATTAATTTTTAGAGTTGTTTTAAATCAAACTTCTTAAGTTTTTCAAATCCATAGACAAAAATTATCAAGATTTATGACATGAATTTTGCACCATTTAATACGCCGTAAAATTATTTTTATAATGTATTTATTTATTGTCACAAATACTTATATTTTAAATGACTTGAAACAACTTTGTGAATAGAGCAAGTAAAATACTCAGGTTACCCAGGCATTAGAAATAGGCATCCGAGGTACGGGCAGTGCCGGTTTGGCACACCTTCACCGACAACTTTATAAATTATCGTGAGTTGTTTTTTGTCAACTTTTTTTTTCAAAACAGTTTCATGGATAAAGCTATTTTTTTTTCTCCTCTAACGAAGAGATGAGTGGGGATGAAGCTAAAAAAAAAAAGCTTATCTCAGCTTCATTTGACATAAGTGGGCCCAATTTGGGTACGTGGCAGATTTGCCCTGTGAAGCGCTGGCGTGGTCATGGTTGCCGGGCACGCGCGCACGGGGTTGAAGGCGCGTCCGCCGGGCTGGGGCGCGTCCGCGCGAAGCGTAGGTACGCCGGGCTGGGGCGCGGCCGCCAGAGCGCAGGGACTGGGCGCAGCCGCCGGGGACGCAGGGCCGAGGCGCGGCTGTCGAGGACATGGGACAGGCCGCGCGTCCGTCGGGGCAGAGCTGGGATGCGGACGCGGGGACGCGGAGCTAGGCGCGGCTGCCGGGGCGCAGCCTGCCGAGGCATGGCCGCCAGGGCGCGTGGCCACCGCGACGCAGCCCGCCGGGAGCGCGGCCACCGGGCGCGATCAGGTCGGCCGCCGGGGCACGGCCGCCAGGGCGCGAGGCCACCGGGGCGCAGCCCGCCGGAGGCGCGCTCGCCGAGGCGCGCGGCCACCGGGGCACAGCCCGCCGGGGACGCGGCCGCCAGGGCGTGCTGCCGCCAGGGACGCGGCCACCGAGCACGAGCTGCTCGGCCGCCGGAGGCATGCGTGGACGCCGCCCGGACCAAGCATCGGGAGGAAGACGGGCGCCGCCGCATGCGCTCGGGAAGAAGACAAGCTAACAAAAAAAAAACCCGTGAGAAGGAGATGAGAAAAAGAAAAACAAAGGGCATTTTAGTCATTTTTTCATTTGAACATCATACCTAGTTGTTTTGCCAAACAGGAGATCAAAATAGCTTAGCTTTACCTAGAAAGCTACTTTTGAAACTAAAACAAAAAAAAGCTTTATTAATGAAGCTGAGCTGTGCCAAACGAGACCTAATTCTGCTTCGATTCACGTGAATTTATTGAAACTCTCGTATGAGAACATATATAAAAGAAAATTTTAGCCGTATGAATAAATTAGTAAAATATGTCCATATATTTAAAAACTCCTTGTATGTTCTATCCTATCCTAATAAAATTAGTATAAAACTTAAATGATAATTTATGACTATCAGTTATGCAAGGGGCTTAACAGGTTTTTGTGGTGGCGATAATCATTGCATCCAGGTGTTTGTTATTTGGCTGCATCCACCACTATCCTATCCTAGTTTGTGTGGCTGCACTCGTATCTAAATTAAGATAAAAAATAGTTAACTTTCTATCCCATCAATCTGAACTCATATGGATTGAGGTGGTTTTAAGTGCATCAAACAAGCCTCAACGGACACGTGCCATTTGGCTTAGTTTTAGGGTCTCTTTGGAGAGCTCTAACTTTTAAAAAATAGATCTAGATCATCTAATCCACCGTAGAGTAGCTCCATCGTGGACTTGGGCTTCATCCCACGTATTTGGTATAGCTCCAGTTCTGAGTTATCTCCCTCTATCTCACTGTCACCTGAGCCCACGCGTTCCGCTCTTCATCCCCTCTTTCTTCCCCTTCCTAGTTCAGAGCATAGCACACTAGAGCTCATGGTCGATGGCGAGATGATGACTGGAGCACACGAAGCGGGCGTGCGTGGCCGGCGGCGGGCGCGGCTAGAGCTTCCGGTGGAGCCTGCCGAGCGCCACCAGCCACAGTGGGGATAGGGGTGCACCGACACCAGAGATGGCCGTGGTTAGCGGCAGGAGCGGCGGCTCACGTGCGACGTATGTGGTTGACATGGGGAAACAAGAGGAGAAGCAAAGAACATACCTTTTTGTAATTAGTGGCATGGTGAGTAATCTTCCCCAATTCCATGAATCTGGTGGTTTTTCAGAGCATCTCTTGAAGTGCTTCGTGAAATCCATAGATGTGGGGGTATATTTATGGATTTTTTTTTGGGAGCCGCTAAATTGTGGATCTACGTGGATGTGGAAGTGTTTGGCTTGAAAAAAATGGGATCTGGAAATGTTTTTTATGAATCTAGAGCTGCTGGAGCTTCAACAAATAGAGCCTTTTGATCAACCCAAACCCAACAAGTTGAAGTCATTTTTTTCCCGAAGTTGTTACTAGTGCCGCTTGCTGATCTCAATGATGCGGTGGCAGTGCAATCTGGGATCTTCCCCTGGGGACTGGTAGGCCGTAGGCCAATGTACCGGACTGACGAAACTGCAAACACGGAATGGGAAAAAAACACGGGTACTTTAGTGACAGATTATTGCGAATGCGAAGCATGCTCTGTTTCGGTGTGCAATGCGATTCCAGGATAGGATAGTGGTCAATGGTGACCCCACGCTCTGTTTTGGTGTGCTCTGTTCTGTGCATGAATCAGTACAACGTGGCCCGTCGCAATTCTGCAGATTGTTTGTTTATCCTTTGAAAAATCACGTCTAACTTTCGTTGATGATTACGTGTACGAGGAGCTGTGATAGCTGCGATGACTTGTCACCCATTACGCAGGCTCATCGGCACAGGTTAGTTCATGGTTGTGTACTACTACTCCAGTTTGTAGTACAACCTGCACCAGTGCAAAGTACACATACAGACTGTGTTGGATTGCATCGACCAGATATATGTGTGTCGGTTATGTGTGCATGGTGGCCTCACATGCTCGTCGTGTAGAGAAAAGTCCACCTCAGCAGCACATGGTTATTCTCAGTTCAGGAGCCGGCAAAAGTCCGCCACGAAGCTAGCTTTGGACTTGTCCATGTGCTAGCCAGCACATCCGGGCAAAAGTCCACCGCAGCAGAGAATTAGCCACCACCAACAACTCCTACATGCGCCTGTTATCATGTCGACACCACATGTACCTGCCAAGCATACCCAGTTACATGGTCACATACTCACATGTCTTTGCATATGTATACGGGAGTGGATATAACAGACGCTCGACAGCCCAACAGCTCTCTGCACAGGAACCAAGAAAGCTAGCTACACCCATTTGCAAAGAGCTAGTGCTAGTAGTGAGGTGGGAAGGAAATGGAGAGCGCAACAGCGGATCCACACTTCGTGCTGGTTCCATGGCAAGGAAGCATCAGCCACATCATCCCGATGACCGACATCGGCCGCCTCCTCGCCTCCCACGGCGCGGCGGTCACCATCATCACGACGCCCGCCAACGCCCCACTCGTCCAGAGCCGCGTGGAAGACCTCGCGACACCACCACCACTACCACTACCTCCGGGCACGGCGGGGACGATCACGGTCACCGCGATCCCGTTCCCAGCGAAGGAGGCCGGCCTGCCCGAGGGCTGCGAGAGGATGGACCTCCTCCGGTCCCCCGCCGACGTGCCGCGCTTCTTCGCCGCCAACAGACAGTTTGGCGAGGCGGTGGCCCGTCACTGCCGCAGCGAGGCGATGCCGCGCCGGCCCAGCTGCGTCGTCGCCGGGATGTGCCACACGTGGACGCTCGGCATGGCGCGCGAGCTCGGCGTGCCGTGCTACATCTTCCACGGTTTCGGCGCGTTCGCTCTGCTCTGCATCGAGTACCTCTACAAGCACAGGCCGCACGAGGCCGTCTCGTCGGCAGACGAGCTCGTCAACATCCCGGTCCTGCCGGCGTTCGACTGCAGGCTCTCGCGTGCGCAGCTGCCGACGCATTTTGCGCCGTCGACGACCATGGGTGCTGGGAGGATGCAGGAGATACGGGAGTTCGACGTGGCCGTGGACGGCGTGGTCGTGAACAGCTTCCAGGAGCTTGAGCACGGCTCCTGCGAGCTTCTCGCGGCGGCGACCGGCAAAACCGTCGTCGCTGTTGGCCCCGTCTCACTCTGCCGCTCACCTACTCTTGATCCACAGGCCATGACAGACGATGCGAGGCAGGTCATGGAGTGGTTGGACACCAAGGAGACGAAGTCCGTGGTGTACGTCAGCTTTGGCAGCGCCGGGTGCATGCCACCGGCGCAGCTGATGCAGCTGGGCATGGCACTAGCATCGTGCTCTTGGCCTGTCGTGTGGGTGGTCAAGGGCACCGACGACGTGAAGAAGTGGCTACGTGAGAGCTTCAACGACGACAGCAAGTGCTTGGTAGTGCGAGGCTGGGCTCCCCAGGTCCCCATCCTGGCTCACCACGCCGTCGGCGGCTTCCTCACGCACTGCGGGTGGGGCTCGACTCTGGAGGCCATTGCCGCCGGCATGCCCATGGCGACTTGGCCGCTTTTTGCTGAGCAGTTTCTCAACGAGAGGCTCATCGTGGATGTGCTTGGTGTTGGGGTATCCGTAGGCGTGACAAAACCAACAGAAAACGTCCTCACTGCTTGTACAACCAACGGTAGCAAAGCCGATGTCGAGGCGGAGGTCGGTACGGAGCAAGTGGCGAAGGCCTTGGAGAGGCTGATGGATCAGGGTGACGTAGGGGAGCAGAGGAGGAGGAAGGCTCAGGAGCTCAAGGCAAAGGCAAATGGAGCATTGGAGAAGGGTGGGTCATCTTACATGAATTTGGAGAAGCTAATCCAATGTGCTTCATGATAGAATATTTAACTTGTCACATTTAATTATGCTTTGCTGAATAAAATAGCCGGCGTCCAACCTTGTACTATGTACAAATCACCAAATTTGTTTGATGTCTTTGAGATTATATGAACAAGGTTAGATCGTTTATTATGTATGTTTGTGTTTGAAGACTTAATTGAAATTGAAGGTAGTGAAGGAATTGAGATGTGATGGAGTCGAAACACTATTTAACCTACCGTGTGATCCATTGAATACCGAAGAAACCACTGAACTGTTTTGTCACAATAACAAAATTCTTTATTTCCGATGCCATACAAAGCAATAGGAAGTAACGGCAAAGTTACTCCAAGAATATAAGGGTCCTACATTTCTATTGTTTCTTAAGGCTAGAACGAGGTCATACATTCCTACGTCCAAGACTATTCAAGACGAAAAAAAACAGTTTTAAAAGTTAAGGAGAGTAAAAATCGAGCTTTGTAAATGGAGGATTGGATAAATGGACATATGGCCCGAGGCCCGTGGGCACAAACCACGGCCTGGCAGTTTAGCCCGACCTAGGCACGACACGGCCCGATAGCCGTTGTGCCCGTGCTGGCCTGGCCTGCTGGGCGTGCCTTGCTTGGGCTGCTCCCTAGGCACGGTGTGTTTGCGTGGCCCGACAAGAGTAGATGTCGGCCCGACAAGGCCCGCTATAACAATATACACTCCACCATCTCTCTCAAAACCTAGCACAACTCTCGATCTCCCATAACGCACTCGCACCCGCACCCACTCCCTTTGACTCTCACATTGACTTGTGCGTTTCTCTCCTCACTCTGGCGCGCAGCTATGTCAACCGAGCAGGCACGATGCCACGACCCCATCAGCCTCGCACGGCGAGGTGACGCGGCACCCAGTCACGCTCGGGGCACGGCGGCACGACCCCCTTGGCCTCCCATAGGCATGTTGACGTGGGCCTCCCGAGCACGACAGGCTTACCAGGCCATGGCCCGGGCCGACACGACCCAAGGCTTAAAGGCCCATGTTCGTGCCTAAGGGGTAGCTTGTGGGCATGACCTGCTAATTAGGCGTGTCATGCCAGCCCGACACCTCACGGGCCGTGCCTTAGCGGGGCCTTGCCATGCCGGGCGGTCTGCTTGGCCATATATATTCGACCATAGCGAAAGTTGAGGGGTCAATAAAAACTTTTTTTTCCATAAAACAATGCTGGTCATTGAGGAGAGAAGATAGAGACGGGCCTCATTGCCGCCATGGCCCATGGGCTTAATTAATGTCCTTTCTTTTTTCTATCAAGGGCCAAGGCGCCCACCTGTTCATGTTTCTTGACGACCCGGCGTCCATCAGACGTCGTCCAAATTGCCGTCTCTTTAATCTTCTTGTTGTCTTCATTTCTCTCTATATAAGGCTGAAGCCCATTGGTTCAGTGAATAGCAGTCTGCTCTGCAATCCGTACAAGATCATTTGTGCTGGACTCAGCAGCTTCCGTCAGTAACTTCAATTTCGACCAATTGGAGCCATACTGAAATTTACCATATAATTAGCTGATGACGAAGCCATTGCGGACATTTGTCAAAGGATACGTATGGAGATGGTGAAGCAGCAACAACTCTCTAACTTGTCAGCCTTCCAAGGACGCAAAATTCTCCTCCTGCTACCCAGACAACACGGGAAAGAGCATCACCCACATAATAAGAATGTTTCCTTCTGGAGGTTTGCCTTATATACAGTAGTTTATAACTGACGTAGCCTAAAGCTGACCAAACGCACATGTAAAAGTCGCAGTTAGAATACGCACAGTTGCACCAATGAATAGGCAAATCCACACGGCATCACACGGATGGAACCAAATGCTGACTTTTATTGGCCCGCGCCAGCTCTCTTGGGAATATAACGAAATGACTAATGTTACTGAAGCATCCAAATGGCATCATAGATGAAGACATATTTAGTTAAGTGCATAGAATTGTCCGTAAGTTTTGGAATTCTTACTTCCTCATCTTTTTTTAGAAAGGCCGGCAAGGGATTCGCCGAATTTATATTAGTGTCATAACATTATTCATTTGATTGTGACCAGTGTATGTTTAATTTGTCTGGACTCAAACTGGAATATAAAAACTTGAGAAAGTATGCCATCGCTGCCATTCACCTCCCCACTCCACTGTTCACTATACATATACACATAGAAGCCTAACTCCTTGCACTGTGCTCGCTCAGGGACGACACATACATGGAGTTGGCGATGGGGGCACGGCGAGTACCATATTCAAGCTGGGTGGTCTGCTCGTTGGCGAGTACAATCTTCAAAAAAGGGTGAAGGGTGAGATCCTCTTCCTCAAATCTGAGCTTGAGAGCTTGCAGGGTGCCCTTGAGAAGGTCTCCGATACACCGGCAGACCAGCTCGACATTCAAGACAAGATTTGGGCCAAGGATTTGAGGGAGCTGTCTTATTATATCGACGACAGTATCGATCGATTCATGCTACACAGCAAGGGCACTGAATCGGCTGAGCTGCATGGCCTCAAAGACTTCATTGATAGGAGCATTGGTTTATTCAGAAAGGCTATGTTTCATCGCAACATTTCTGCCAAGATCAGAGACATCAAGAGACGTGTCACAGAGGTGTCCAAGCGGCGTGATAGGTACAGGATCAACAGTAATGTTGTTAATAAGCCTGTCTCGGTTGATCCTCGTTTATTTGCTCGGTATGAGAAGGCGACGGACCTTGTTGGAATTGATGGGGCAAGAGAGGAGTTAATTCAGATCCTGATGGCAAAAAATGAGGTGTCCGACAAAGGGCAAAATAAGATTGTTTCCATTGTCGGATTTGGTGGTCTGGGAAAGACAACCCTTGCTAATGCGGTGTATGAAAGACTTAAAGCAAAATTTGATTGCTCAGCTTTTGTTTCAGTGTCACAAACACCTTGCGTAGAGAAATTATTCAGCGACATGCTTTATCAAGTTACTAGGGAAAAGAATCCAAGCACCAATGTTATTGAAGCTCTTATTAAAGACATAAGAGAATTCCTTGAGAAGAAGAGGTACGAATAGAACATCCCGATCAGTTTATAACCATGTGATTATTTGTTTGTAGAAAAATTTGCATCATAACACTGAAAGAACACAACTTCGGCCAAATATCACCCTGAAAGTTCCATTTTAGTAATGTTCAAATTTCTCCCCCACGTCTTGATTAGCTAATATGAAATGATCACTTGTGTTCCTACTAAATGTCATATTAGAGCGATTCAATCTCCTTCATGTAGTTAATGAACTAGAAATGGAGATTCTTGTTTCCTCAAATGGAAATTCTAAACCTTTTAATACACTAGCCATCTTGAATCACTATCAATCTTTAATAGTCTCCCTGGTTAGCTTCACTTGGATACATTAAACTAGAACTTTCGACCTTGCTTTACTTTGCTAGTAACATGGCTTTCGTATGTAACCATGTGTGCAGGTACTTTATAGTAATTGATGACATATGGGACATCTCATTCTGGGAAATGATTAGATGTGCTTTGCCTGATAATAATTTTGGAAACAAAATCATTACAACTACACGTATCCTCAGTGTTGCTAATCAAGCCGGTGGTGCTTATAAGCTGAAACCCCTTTCTCTAAATAACTCGCGAAGATTACTATTTCAAAGAGTTTTTGGTAATGAGAACTACAATAGTGAAAACACAGAAAAATGTCCGGTTCAACAGCTAGCCGAAGTATCTGATAAAGTACTAAAGAAATGTGCTGGTGTACCATTAGCTATTATTACAATGGCTAGTCTGCTGGCTTATAAAGCAAGAAATGAAATGGAGTGGTATGAGGTCTACAATTCTGTTGGTACAAGTATGGAAAGCAATTTAGATGTGAAGAATATGAGAAAGATTCTATCATTTAGCTATTTTCATATGCCATCGCATCTAAGGACATGCTTATTGTATTTAAGTATGTTTCCAGAAGATCATAAAATTAGTAAAAATCGTTTGATATGGATGTGGATAGCAGAAGGCTTTATCCAATCTGAGACACAAGGGGAGAGCTTATTTGAACTTGGGGAGAGGTACTTCGATGAGCTCATAGATAGAAGTATGATCCAACCCATACATGATCGGTACACTGGCATGATAAAAAAATGCCGGGTACATGATATGGTGCTTGATCTTATCCGCTCCTTATCGAGTCAAGAGAACTTTCTGATCATACATGATCTGGATTGCACATCTCAATCAAATATGATACGGAGGCTGTCCCTTCAAAATGGCAAGGAAAGTCATGCTATGACTCAGTCTACTATGAGACTGGAACAAGTAAGGTCAGTTATTGTATTTCCATCAGCTGTTAATATAATGCCAGCCCTTGGGAGCTTCCGAGTTTTACGTGTACTGAACTTAGAAGGTTGTGATCTTTCGCAAGGTTATAGCCTTAAGGACATAAGAAATTTATTTCACTTGAGGTACCTGGGACTAAATTGCACTGGTATTGCTCAGCTCCCTAAAGAAATAGGAAACATGCAATTTCTACAAACACTGGGCATAGCGAGAAATAAAATTTCTAGCTTGCCATCAACGGTTGTTCAGCTAAGAAATCTGATGTGTCTATACACTGACCACTCTACAAGAGTGCCAAACAGGATTGGGAACCTAACTTGCCTCCAAGAGATGCTAATAATAAGAATTGACAACTCTAACATTGATATTATAGAAGAGTTGGGCCAGCTAACAGAATTAAGGGTGCTATCTATTTTCTTGAGCGAATGGAGCGACAAGCTAGCTGGATGCCTATGCAAGCTGCAAAAGATCCAGAGGCTATATATCAGGTCCGACTTTAATCAACGCATCATCGGTGGATTGGATGCCTGGGTCGCCACTCGTCATCTCTGTACATTGGGCATAGGACAGAGCTGTTGGTTCTCAACGCTGCCCTCTTGGATGAAACCGGGGTTTCTTCCACACCTATCCGCTGTGTCCATTGCTGTAAGGGAGTTACAACAAGACGATCTCGATATCCTTGGGAGGTTC